CCAGAAAGGTTCAGAGAGCTTCTGGGTTGGTGAACACATCGAGGTGCCAGGAGAGTGATGCACCTGGAGAGGGCACGGAAGCTCCGTGCTCCTTCTCACATACTTTGCCCTATGCATCTCTTCCATCTGGCTGTTCCTGAGTTGTATTCTTTTATAATATACTAGTAATCTAGTACGTAAACTCTTCCTGAGTTCTGTGAGCCATTCTAGCAAATTATCAAACCTGAGGAAGGAGTCAATGGAAACCTGATTTATAGCTGGTCAGTCAGAAGCACAGGTGACAACCTGGACTTGTGATTGGCATCTGAAGTGAGGGGGCCTCTTGTAGGATTAAGCTCTTAACCTGTGGAGTCTGCACTAACCCCAGGTAAATAGTGTCAGAATTGAATTGGTGTCAGAGAATTGGTTGGTGTTTGAAACACCCCCACAAATTTAAAGTCAGAAATGTTGTGAGTAGTAGAGGAAAAAACAGTGTTTTTCTTTTAGGTATCCATTTCTATAATCTTTAAAAGATGTCCTTTTATAATCCAAGTTTGTCCAAGAGTTCCCTATGAAACCACACTGATTTCTATATTGGGCTCCATACCATAATATAATCAATTTCAGTTTTGGAAAGCTTCCCAAACTTCGGCAGGTATCTTTACCTGAAGAATTTCACACCATAGAAGAATACCTAGAAAATTTTGGGGAACATTTAGAAATTAGTCAGTCTTTGTTTTGATGCAACATAAGAAATTTAGATGATAAGTACAAATCCAAGAGTTCTTGGCTTTGCTCAATTTATTCCACAGAAATAATTTAAATGTTAGGGGGCAACACTGTGAGCTAGAACAGTTAGATCTCTCTGTTTCTCTCACATTCCCTGAGTGATATTGGGGAAATTTCTCATTTCTTTATCTCTCACCTGCAAAATGTTGGGAGAGACAATCTTCCTTAGACCTCTTGTGCTACCACCTGTCTTTACTGGGCTGTATCCAGACTGCAAGGCCCTGAACACCCTTTTACCCGGGCCATTTCTCAGCGTTGTTTATGCAGCTGACAATCATGAGATGAGGTTTTCCTACTGCTTCCTATAAAAGCAATGGATTCCCCAAACTCAGTGTTCCTCAGCTGCAACATAAACCCACCATATGCAGAGCGTCTTGCTGAGCCATGCAGTGTCATCCAGGCGAGACTCTGATGCAAGAGGAACTGACACAAATGTGTCGATGCTCAGGCTGCTTGCAATATCATGAGTAATAAAGTCCTTTGTCTCTGACCTAGGAGTCATGTGTCTTTTGCCAGCATCCATGAAAGAGCAGTAACAGGCTAGTTTTTTAGTTTGTAAGTAGGGTAAACCCCAGATCTCACTAAAAAAAAAAAACAAAAAACAAACAGGAATAATCTGTACCCTCAGTTAAAATTATGGGTCTTCCATAAATATAAGTGTAAGAATTTAATTTAATTTAAAATAAACCTTTATTGAATAGACTGTATGACACAGTGCTAGATGCTAAGAAAATCTCTTAGATTTGTTCCTTCGATTTTTCAAGATGGTGGACATAAAGTCTTAATCCAAAAGAAAATATGTCAAGGAACTAGTAAGCAATCTGATCAGGTAATATTTCACACAGGTATATTATTTCTCTAATTCAAGTAATATCTGAACCATTTCAGTGCTCAGAGAGATAGGTAGCAATGTGGGCAACTGCAAATTCACAGAATCTGCTTAAAAGGCTTTTAATGAGTATATTTACTGAGAAACTAAAGATAGTAAACTGTGCTTTTTATTATCTCATTTTTGTGTGTGTGTGTGTGTGAGGAAGATCGGCCCTGAGCTAACATCCCTGCCCATCTTCCTTCACTTTATATGGGACGCCACCACAGCATACCCTGACAAGCGGTGCGTCGGTGTGCGCCCGGGATCCGAACCTAGGCCGCCAGCAGCAGAGCGCGTGCCCTTAACAGCTATGTCACAGGGCCGGCCCCTATTATCTCATTTACTCTTCATAATTTTCTAGTGTGTTTCAAAATTTTTATTTATTTATTTATTTTTTGGTGAGGAAGATCAGCCCTGAGCTAACATCCATGCCAATCCTCCTCTTTTTGCTGAGGAAGACTGGCCCTGGGCTAACATCTGTGCCCATCTTCCTCCACTTTATATGGGACGCCGCCACAGCATGGCCTGACAAGCAGGGCACTGGTGCGCGCCCGGGGTTCCGGACCCTGGCCACCAGCAGCAGAGTGCGCGCACTTAACCGCTACGCCACAGGGCCGGCCTCTCAAAACTCTTACACACAAATTAATAGCATATAATGAGATGAGATGCAAGATAATTGATCAATGTTGTAAGCATGATACAGTTCCACTCTAAGAGACTTTATATTCTACTAGACAGTAGTTAGTGGTGCATCGGTGCGCGCCCGGGATCTGAACCCCGGCCGCCAGTAGCGGAGCACGTGCACTCAACCAAGCCACCAGGCCGGCCCTAAAGTTTGTTATTTTAAAAAGCAACTTTTCAGGAGGCTGGAAGCCAGTGTTAACACTTCATCTATTAAAAAGCCAACTGTTGTGACATCCATAATAATAGGTAAGAAATACAACTGCAACAGCTCAGCAGTGCAAGTCTCCTGAAAAGATCTGAGCCTACAAACGTCATCAGCTTTCTCAAGGCCGGAAACCAGGAGCCTCCCCAGACCCTGAGCTGCTATGTGTGTTATGTGGGGTAATATTCCATAACTCACATTTATTCTTGTTATAGGTACTCATTTACAAAAACTCTAAGTTATGTAATACAGTAAAACTCTAGCATTTCACATAACTAAAATGAGACAAGAGAAGTCGAAAATGATACAAAAAGACAAGGATGAAAACACTCAGGGCCGGCCCCGTGGCTTAGCGGTTAAGTGCGCGCGCTCCGCTGCTGGTGGCCCGGGTTCGGATCCTGGGCGTGCATCAACGCACTGCTTCTCCGGCCATGCTGAGGCCGCGGCCCACATACAGCAACTAGAAGGTTGTGCAGCTATGACATACAACTATCTACTGGGGCTTTGGTGGGAAAAAATAAATAAATAAAATCTTAAAAAAAAAAAAAAAAGAAAACACTCAAACGAGTTAACAAGTAAAGCCGTTTCTCGCCCGCCATTCTGATTTTCTTTTTTAAATCACATTCTAGAAAGGCTTGTGTGCAAATAGGTTCTTGGCCAGCATTACCATATACCACTTGACTGGTAATCTACTAAAATCATCAAAGTATTGATACAAGTCACATTTTGTGGGTTTTTGATGTGCTATACTGTTGCAGTTCATCTTATCTTCCTTTTTGATTTCACCCATGATAATCAGTCACAAAAATTCCAGCAAAAACAAAATGAAAAAAAAGGAGGCTGACTCTCACAGTAGGCTTGATTCTTGCAGTAGCACTTGTATTAAAGAAATGAAATTTTGCCAGGGTTGAGCCACAAGGAGGAAGTCCTTAAGAAGGGCATAGATTTGTTGGCTTTTATGTAGCATTTGTCTTTGGTACCCAGTCTATTAAAGGAATCAAAACCTTAAAGCTGTATGGTGCCTGGTAAATAATAATAGCAGCTAATATAACAGTAAACACTACTCATTGAATGCATCAGCACCCTCCTCATTTTTTTCTCTATAAACTGTCAATTAACTAGACAATACTGATTTGTTTTCTCATAGAATTATATTTAACTAGTTATATTAAAAAGCAAAATAAAAAATGGAATAAAAAGATAGTTTGACTCTAAGAAATGAGATGGAACTGAGGATTATTTACTCATTCAAAGTAAAGTGCTGAAGAAGAAACTATTGGGCATCAGTGGAGAGAGAAAACTGCCTTAGTTTTATGTAGCGTGACCAGATCTACTAAGGACGGGACCACTCCGGGTCTGACGCGGATACCGAGAAGTTTAAGGTAATCTCTGCTCCTGAGAATTTTATGCTTTGTGTGATGACAAACACACAAGAATTAGAAAATAAGTAAAAAGCCTTAAGCTCCAAGTTCTGCAGCACTTGAGCGAAAGGAGAAATGAAGGTGGGCCAAAGCCGTCAAGGAGCACTTCGTGGACTCTCACCTGGACTTAAAGGGGGGCTCAGGGGGCAGAGGCAAAGGGGGAAGGGGAGTAAACGTTTTGGGTGGGATGTCACAGGAACAAGGTAGGAGAGGCGGCTGAGGGCAGCACACGCAGTCAGTGAAAAGGCCAGTCTGGGCAGAGCGGCGGATGTGTGTGCTGGGAGTGTGCGCTGAAGCGGGAGAACCCGCCTTCAGTTGCCCAGGCAAAGTGGGAGAAAGTAAAATGACGTAAAGTGGAACCAAGCTTCAATTTTTCTATTTTTATTATAAAACGCATAAATCACCTGAGCTCCCTAAAGTTAGGTGCCAAGTACAGAAGGAACAGTTACTGGTTTGGAGAACCTTCATACGTTAGAACATATGTGGCTACTTTTCAAAGTAATTCCACCCAGAAAGGACTGCTATTATGTGACAAAGCTGAAGGTGCTTAATGTTGTGGATATCTGCACATCAGAGCAACATTCGAGACCAAATACTTTACATTCCTGGGACCTGTTTTTGACTACTGTGGAATTCACAGAAATATATATAACATAAATATATATATATAAACAAATGATAAAAAATGTACAACTTCCCAACAAACAAATAAAGAAAAAAACAGCCACTGAGGAACTTGATATAATCTTGAAATAAAGTCCCTTTTGAACATGTCATTTAACAAATACCCTAAAGGAACAGCACAAACAAATACTAATGCCACTTTGCTTGAAACCACAAAGATAATGATTTTAAACACAAGACTCTGAAAACCCTAATCCTGTTTGGTACCTGTATGGAAAATCTGGCAAATATGCTTACTGGTCCAGTTATTGCCAGGGGAAATAAAACCTAAAGCTGACACTCTCTCTTACAGAAAACAATCAAAAGGTGGTTAGAAATTTTAAAAAAGAAAGAAAGAAAAAGAGCTGAAAGATGTTGGTGTGGCACGCACCTTCTGTATCATCGCGCATTTGCTCCACCAAATCTGTCAAATCCTCCCAAGAGTCTTTGCAAACGGCAAAAAGAAAGGAAAAGAAAGATAAAATGTCATGCAAGCCAAGAAAGAAAAGTGCTATTAAAAACAAGGTTTCAAAAGGGATAACTGAAGGGGAGATTCCTAAAATTCTTTCCATTTAACCCAGAGATTGACAGTGAAAAGCCTGGGAACACACCCAAGGAGGAATATGACACTAACTAAGCAGGTATCAACTATGGCTATTAAATATGTTTCAAGCTAAGATTAATGATTTCAAGGTTTCTAATAAAAGGAAACAAAGATGTATATCCCATAAAAAAGTAACACAGATTTTTTTCCATTGAAAATCAAGGTTAGGCTCTTTGTATTCTAAGTGTACACAACATTGATCTCCTTCAATATTTATTTTGATCACTTCAGTGAAGCTGAAAAATGTGGAATATTTTTTAGACTCAGGCCAAATATCATGATGCAAATGACTGACTTTTCTTAAAGTAACCAAAGAAAACTCTTAAATAGCTTTCTCAACACCCTCCAACCCCACAATTCTCCTTCCCCAGAACAAAAATAAAGGAAAAGATGCTGCTTTTAAGACAGACAAAATAAATCACCTATAATTCAATAGACAGATGTTTAATCAGCTAAAAGTATAGTACTCTCTCCTCTTACTATAAATTCAATGTTCTCATACACAGAATATTCCATGTGAGGCAAAAGGACAGGAAAGAAGGCAAAGATTACAAATATAATAGATACTTCTGTGTCTTAAAGCTGTAAGATCACTGTTTTGATATAAATGTTGAGAACCTATAGACATCTTTAAAAAAATGGATTAGCTTCACTCTTCAGTATCTCTGAAACTATTATATTACACACAAACGCAATATTCATACTTAAACTCAAAAAATCATGTGAATTTCATGTGTAAATACACAGCAAATAAAGGGAAGTTCTCAGAGGATGAAGCATAACAAAGATGAGAAAATGGGCAAAGAATACTTTGTCCATGATAAGCTTTCCTCTCGAAAAATTGATCACAGAAGCCAGCATAGCATCTGAAGCAATAACTTGGAATCATCATCTAGGAAAGAATTTATCATTTGTCCTACTCTCTCACTAGTTTATTAAATTATCACTCTAATTAAACTGGATAATTTTTAGTTCTGATGTCGTACAGTGATTTGCAAGTGGGCTGTAAGGGTACATTCTAGTGTCAAATATATAGTCATTTATCCTACAAAGATGTGCAAAAAAGATACAAATATATAAAAAGTTAAAATTTAAATTTAAATTCAGAAAACAGGGAAGCAGATAGGGATTTAGTAATGCGATATTTGATTAAAAACCAGATAAATGTAGATATATGTAGATTACCTGGTTAGGTCAGACACAAGGACAGGTAACATAAAAAGACGGCAAGTATGATAACTTATTACACTCGTAATGTCCCCCAATTCAAAAGTTTAGAAATTAACGATTTAGAAAACCAAGCATAGGAGTACAGCATAGAAAACCAGGATTAAATTCCTAACTTCCATCAACACCCCAAGCAAGTCACTTCATAAACAGAGGTAGGAGAGCACGATGACCTCCAGAGCTGGAGGGCAGGGGCTCGCAGCCCAGCTCCACCCCTCACGGGCTGTAGGACCCCCTGGTCCAGGTACTTCATCTCTTTTCCCTCAGTTTCCTCATCTATAAAACAGGGAAAAGAACAGTACCCGTCTTACAGCACTGATGTGAGGAGTAAAAGAGTAAACGTAGGTCCAAAGTCCTTTATCTTAGTATTTTCTGGCCAAATGTATTTTGAAATTCATGTATATATATGTATATATATTTTAAATTTTAGAAAGGTAAAATGGTACATACTGAGGCCAACAAACATGCAGAACTAGCAGGGCCTGGAGCAGCACTTCACAAACAAGCACATTAATATTTCTGCAGGAAATATATGAATATTCAAATTAAATGGGATAAATAAAGACTATAAATAGCCTCAAGTAAATTCACGTCATGTTTTAGCACCAAATGAGTCCAGGCAAATTTATGAAAAATGCTTTTGGCTTTTAGAGTTTTTTGGATTTTGCAATGGTGGATCTGTATATGTAAAGCACTTAGAAAGCATCTCATACAGAAAAAGCACAATGTAAATGTTAGCTATTATTACTTTATAGCAAATAAGTGTTAAAATACACTATGTATAGATATATTTGCATATATCATTTTCAGGTGTAATCCTCTGACAATACAATATGCTACAGATTTATATTATGCAGGATTATAGATTCACAAAAATGTACTCATTTAACCAGCACATTAGTTTGCTCTATAGACTTGCTATGTGACCTTGTGAAAGTGAGTAAGGTTTTATTCTTTTTTTAATTCATTTTATTTTTTATTTTTTTATTCTTTATTTTCTTTAACTAGAAACTATGTCACCTAATAAAATAAAAGTCTACCTTATTAAAGCAAAATATAAAGATCTCCCAAGATTTGTGCAGAGAAGAGCTCTGGAAAGTGCATTTCTGGGCAGGAATGGGTGGTGAGGACAAGGAATCTCTCTGACTTTCCCCTTCTCACCTAGAGGTATTTTCTATTCCAACCGGACACATTTACCAGAAAATGTGTCCCGTTGGAATAGAAAATAAAACTTTTAAAACAAAATTTAACATAATGAATGTCAGAGTGATGGAATCAATTTAAAAGAGCCTTCCTCCTCTGGAAGGTAAAAGGTGTGTTTTCTCCTTTTAAAGTTGAGAATCTCCATTTTACCTTGGCATGCTCAGGATTTTATTGTAATAAAGAATGGATACTATGTTGTTCTTTTATAACCCCCAAAGAAGGACTTATGAAACACTTTTTAAAGATGTACTCTTTGGAATATGTTCAAATTATTAAACAACAACAAAAGTATCTAAAACATGAGTCAAAGAGGTGGATGGTGGCACAGACAATTCTGATCTCTTTCCTAGAACATTTCATTTTTCTAGAGATAATACTTTGTTGCCTTGAACATGTTTTGCCTGGTCTAAAAAACTAGATGAACTTTAATTTTATCATAATAATACACATTCACAAATTGCAGAGAGGAGTAACCTAAAGGCTTGCTAGCTGATACAGAAGATAGGTCTGATTAAAATTTTGCTACCGACAATGAATGCATAATTCAGAGTTGTACCAATGAGAATTGTGCCAGACATGCACTCTAAATGTTAAAGCAAAGAGTAAAGGGTTAGCTTCCAAAGTTAGGGCCGGCCCCGTGGCTTAGTGGTTAAGTACGTGCGCTGCGCTACTGGCGGCCCAGGTTCGGATCCCAGGCGCGCACTGACGCACCGCTTCTCCCGCCATGCTGAGGCCGCATCCCACATACAGCAACTAGAAGGATGTG